CCCCACAAGCCGGCCTCCTCGCCTCAGGCAGGGAGCTGAGCGGGTGACGGAGGCCGCGAGAGGGGAGCACGGCCCTGCGTCCCGGGAGGGGGCGGAGTGCCTCCCGCCGCCGCGCTGGTACCGCCGCTTCTCCACACGTGCACACGGAGCACTCGGCTCCCGCCCGCCGCCGCCGCCAGCCCGACCCGCCGCCGCGTTGTGACCTTTCACCCCGCCCCCTCTGCGCGCCGGCGCGTAGGCCGCCTCCCGCGCAGGCGCACTGCTGGCCTCCGCGTACCCTTCTCCCCTCCTCCACTTTGGGACCGCCATCTTTCTAGTGGGCTGTACCCTTTGCGTCATCTTCCTCCTCCCATGCTTTGCCACACTACTCGTTAGGGTGGCCCGGTAGGCCCCGGCGGTAAAATCCGGGTTGTCCTGCCGCTCCCTCACCTCTCCCACGTCAGTAAGATCAGTCTTCCCCGAACTGGCTCTTCCCAGTTGATAGTCTCCCTGATGACTTTCAAAAGCTCCTTTTTCGTAATACGATTTTATAAAGTAGGTTCCTCTAAATGTAAAGAAGTCTGTGGAAAACTCAAAGTAAATGAGGTGCTTTGTTTTGTTTTAAAGACGAGTCAACGTAATTGGCCGGGTAACTTGGCTTCAGCCCAGCAAGCTTTGAAGTCACGTGATTGCCCCAAACCTCCAAGCCTGAGGTTTCGCAGTCCGGCGCCGCCGGGATGGAACTCTATCGCCATTTCCGGTCTATAGATCGTGGGGGAGCGTCACTTCCTTAGCAGTACACTTTAACCCATTCCACCCATGCCTTCTAGATTGCACTTTACAACATAACCTTTGTGGGAGTTTTTCGTTTTTTTCTTAGGATTTAATCGCAACAAAATTAACGTTCAAACAATCCGCAAAAATTCAGGCCCCCTAAGAAGTAACGCGCCAGCCCGGCGGCTGCAGGGCGGAGCTCAGGGTCACGTGACTGTCTAGACCCGCCCCGCCCTCTGCAGCTGAAGACTTCCCCTCCCTCAGTGGCCAAGCCTGGAGGTCCGTGGTCTGTGCTGCTTCTGCGTCTCGCGCAGTGTCAGGTGAGCGGCGACCTGTAACTGGCGGCAGGTGGGGATCAGAGAAGGGGTGGGAGGAGGGAGAGAAGGGAGAGCGTGAACGGTGGCCCGGCCATTATGGTTCCCTCTTCCACGGTCTGTGGGGCTTCGGGTCGTGGGATTGACTCAGCCATTCTTGGGGGTCTAGCAGCCTGTAGTTCCCAATCCCCAAAGCCCATTCTTTGGTAGAGGCCCTGGCCGTCTTCCCCTTCCACCTGCGGCTGGGGAGCGGGCAGGTTGGAAGATCCCTGGAGGCAGAGGCGTCTCCGGTGAGACTGGCTTGGGAGGGAATGACACTGGTGTGGCCCTGGCTGCGGAGTCACTGCAAAGCCTGCTTCCGAACGTGCTTTCTCAATAATGCTGAGCTTTTAGCTGATAGCCTTGCAAGAGGGGTCCTGTTGGTGCTCACAGGCTTTGGAAGGGTAAAAGCAAGCCTTTTAGATTTCTGGTCTGATTTTACGGTGCCGTAAGGGAGCGGATAGTTGAAAGCATAAACAGGAGGTGTAAGTAACGACAGCCGCGATTGAATGGGGAGGCGTTGGAAGATGGTGTTTCGGTGTCGCGATGCGAGACCGGCTGGTTTGTGGGAAAGTGATTAGGTTTCACTAAAAGGGAACTAGCTCTTCAGAACACTAATTGGGCTGGAATGTAATTGAATCAAATGTGTTTCACCATAAACTGAAAGGAAAGGAGAACTCGAGAGGCCGCTGACTTCGTATTTTCTGCATTTGACGTTTTCCTTTGCCATTTCTCCCTAATATCGCACTTACTTGCCACTCCCAAGCAATTCCTTGACCAGCAGCAAATCCATTTTAAGTAGCACTTATGCCTCTCCTTAGCTTTCCCCATTTGTAAAACTCCAGGTGACCTCTTCAGATTTTGATGAATAGTATTTTGTGAAAATACAGAAATTGTTTTGCTGAGGTTTTTGCCCAACCCGGTGTACTCCCATGTCATTTGCAATGTAGTAACCAATATTTTGACCCCAAACAATGTGCTTTAGGGAAGAGTGTTTTTCAGTTTGGGGTTTAAACTCTTTTATTTATGCTGCAAACATAGAAGGTCCCGTGGTTCTTTTAAATTGGAAGGCCTAGCAGAAATTATAATTTTGATTTTAAAATGTAAATTTTTAAATCTGAAAAATAATAGTCTCAGTTAAACCTTTTAATTTTCTAACCAATATAATTGAAGAACCCATTAAAAAGAGCTGGAAAATGAGAAAGATGGAATCATCTTTGAGTGGTGAGTGTGACTGACTGATTTTTGGTTTTCTGTATCTTCCAACTTCTCCACAATTAACTGGTCTTATTTTAATTGAGGAAAACAAAAGTTAAATTCTAGAGTAATAGTGATTTAATAAGACTTCCCCTCTTTCAGTGACATTCCACCAAATTAGACAAATTCCTGAAGTTTCCTAGAGGTTCAAACCAGTCCTGTCTGGATAAGACCGAAATAGGAAAGAAAACCAGTTAAAATGCAAGGAGTACTAGTTGGGGGAATGTCAGTATGAAAGAGGTTGAATGACTCTGCAGTTTTACTTCACAATTCCCCCAATTTTAGGGAACTTATTAAAGCAATAACTTAGAGTCTAAGTCTTAGACCACTAATGAAAAGAAAGATTA